AGCTTATCCACATAGCTTCTATCAAGTGCACGTCACTTCCAGTGCCACGCCTACCCCAACTCTTGGATATCGAGTATACCAGAGCGGAAAATTTCTTCCATTGTGCACGTACTTGACTGTTTAGAATGCAGTTTATCAGCTGCTATCATTTGTTTGGATGCTGATCATTTCGAGGCAGTTCCACTCCACTACTCACTTATGTGCTGGTGCTAGTCGCACCATGTCTAGCGATGCGTACTTCGACGTAGTCTTACAGGCCAACGATGGTTCGATGTGAGTCCCTTTTCCGATATAGCAGCACTCAGTGTACCAGTGACGAGTAGGGCCTAGATTCAGCAGCTTTTCCAGCCATCTCTAGGTCTAGAAAGTGTTCCCGTTAAAGAGAGTCACCACAGCGGATTAACAGCTCTCAATTCAGTGGGCTGCTAATAAGGATTAATCGCAGTATTTGAAAGCTTTCGCTGCGTTCATGCCATTCAGGCGATTCGAAGTCTGCTACTGCCCCAATCTCTCGCTCTATACCTGGCCTTCACACTGCTAATGTAGGTATCTTCCCTTTGAATAGGTAAAGGTAAATATTTCGTTCATCGCTGCTGTATCGCAAAATATGTAGTTCGAGTAGCAGAGAGCTTATACGATCCAAGCGATTCCAACAGATCCGGCAAGATTTTCGTCAAGAGCTCGCGGAAGGGGCTCTAGAAGCGTGGGAACGGTTACATTTGCTTGTTCGATGGATCGCGATCAGGGGAACACAAGGAGCCAGGGTGAAGTGGTGGTAATAGTAAGAAGAATGCCAAAAGGATGTAGAATGATGATGAGTAAATGAGACCGGCACTACCGTAATCCCAGCTATTTGTCGACCGGCCGGGAAGAGTAGCGTTTCCCTAAAAAATGTGTATCCCATGTCTTTTTTCATCCTGTCGTGTAATTCCAATAATCAAATGTACCGTATCCATTGCTATCACATCACATACCGCTACCAATCACATATCGCCCCTTAGGATCATATCTGCAGTTTGGTCAGCATTCTCACCATTTTTATAACCACCAGATTAGTCCCCCGTCAACCGCCGGGACCTTCCTTTCCTGCGCAAGCTTTCTATCCTCCGCTATGGTCCCTTCCTCCTGTGACACCAACACCTCGTGGAAGTGACGCGTATGCAACAAAAAGGTGTTTCATATAGTAGAGGGCCGTAATCATGACATGACGGTAGAATGACATATCAATACCTAACTGCACCTTAGGTCTGTTGGTGATGATTTTCGCTCCCCTCCCATCCTCCCTCCTCCCTCCACTGCCCTCCAGCTGCCACTGCAGCACCATGTGGAATGAACGGAAGTGTGCTAAGCAGGTGTTTATATAGCCCTAAGTGTTATCACAACTATCCTGCTACAAAACATTGATATCTCAAATCCTGTAGCTACCCGATTCTGTTAGCGGTTGTTTGTCCCATCAGCTTATCACTCACTTCATTTTGCGGACGCACGGACAGACAGACATACATACCTTGAATACCTTGATGTCCGCTCTTCAAGGGTGATTTCGCCATCCTTGCAGGACGCATCTATGCCATTCGTTTCGATTTCTTGCCATTTGTTGCCATCTCTGTCCAAATAATTTCCTAAAAGGATCACTCCACCTGGCTGGGGGTCTTCCCTTGCGGCCTTTTTAACTCCGCGGGGATACCAATCGGTCACTCGGGATGTCTAACGGTTATCGTTAAGACGCATACGATTGCTACTAATCTACTGAAAAGATGGACAGGCTAGTCGAGAAGAGATGGAGAGTTACTGGGCAGAAAGTGGCCTTAAGGCGCCACCTTTGGTCCACCCGCCTTTCAAACGACCCCTCTCCTCCACCCCCATCGCTAGCCGTGGAGATCGCATGCATGGATCACGACGTAGTGGGATAGATTCAGTGGATATGATAAAGGCATCGCACACTGATGCGATGTGTTCATCCATACTCGCCTAGACAGGCGACTGGCTTTCCTCTCCTCCAGATGCACGAGGGTGGTCCTTAATAAGAGGTCACAAGCGGTTTCCTTTACTTTTTTCCATTTTCAGTCAACCGGAATCCACTTTTCATGATCGAGCTGTGACCCCACCGATTTGACCTGGGGTTGTTGCTTTGAAGCATCCTCCCATTTCCCTGTGGGTAGATGTAGCCCTTCGCATCATAAACAGTTAAGGCCGTTTGTCGCGGCTCAAGTGCATGGAAAGGGAGCCAGAGTCTTACAAAGTGAGCTACTGACGGCAATGTGGGGTGATGGAAGAGATATTATACCTCGCGCAAACCTCCTAGACAAAGTTCGATTACGGAATGAGGGCCAATTCAAATTTCCGCGGACTAGGATCCATGGAGTACGTCAGTCCGAGACCATCGTTGAACGCGCTTCTCCCTTATTCCAAGGGGAAGAGAGGATGTGAACGGGCACCCGACACGCGGCAAGAAGCCAGTGTCGAAGCGCGTGCTCGCCGATAAGGACGTACAGTGGGAAATTCTATTCAACTTGACGCGAAATCACTAGAGGATGCGGGGCGACTCGTCCGCTGACCCTACCTTTTTGCCGACCGTCATGGGCCTCCTGCGGTTATTTTTCCTCTTGTCGGTGTGAAACATCCACTTAAATTGGCACACTTCAACTCCACCAACAGAAATCATAGAAAGTTGCCGTTGAGCATACATGACCCGTCATAACCCAAAGATGACCGCTCTCTCAATCCATAACTCGTGATTACGACTCCATCTATTCAGATTTCCATGGAGCTACTCGCAATTACAAAGACATTACCCATATTTGGAAAGCAAAGCGGTGATTAAGAAATTTGATGACTTGAAGATAACTGACACTTCCTTACTCGCAAGACCTGTGTCTGTTTGCTTTCGTTTCTCAAAACTCATGCATTCTTCATTTTTCTAACGCAGGTTTATTTAATAACACATCTCGATGAACCATTTACTAAATACAAGTGGATAAATCTCGAATATGCACTTGAAGATATGAAGGAAGATAAGGATTTTCAGGGATTAGTAGTAAGTTTAACAGAAGATTCTACTTCGCTCTAACGAAAGAGCACTTACCATTGAAGGTCAACACATCGGTCAGGCCATTCGCACGGTGGTGTTCACCCTTGCGTCAGCCTCGAGAGGATGGGGTCATTGCTGCTTTCTGAATATATCTGCTAGCCGATTCTCAAATGGAGGCTATAAGGCCACAGATCGAAGCGGTATGGCCTAGCCTCACGGGAGCGATCGTGAAGTCGATTCCTTGTAGTATTTCTTCCATTTTTGACATGGCTGGAAAGTCCTTTGATTACTTTGCTTCATCAAGATCTGCTTGCAGTCACCTGCATGTAGATTGTAGAACTAGTTTCGTGGCGGTCTATTTTGAACATAACTCACCTCCCCTTCAAAAAGCGAGAAAGTGTCGGTGCAGACATGCACCACAAGTGACGACGGCCTTCACAAAATGTTAATGTTTTCTGCCAATGAAATGATTAGCCTGTTGCAGTTGTATTCTATCGATTGTCACTAATTACAACTATCATTTTACCAGAAATTAGCTATCACTATGTGACCTTCTGACTCGGGGGCGGGGGGAAGATTTAACAAAGGCCGTTCGTCAGTTGTGTTTTTATTCTGCAGCCGACACATTCTCTGCTTTTTTCTGTGAAGGGGAGGTAATTCCTAAGCACCTCGTAGCATGCGCATCTGAGGAAGCCTAAGCCAATAGAACCTGTTTCGAATCCGAACTTCGAAACTGATGAGTTACCCATCGGGTCTTCAATACAATCTACTGTCATTATCTCATACGTGTCTACAGACACTTGTGATGAAACCAACTTTCCGTCCTAATTGTAAAAGCGAAAGTCAGTATCTAGCTCACATGTTCGCATTATTAAAATAATTGCGTTGTTCCCTAATACCAAATGTTGCCTTCGACTGCACTTTCTATTCACTACTTGGGCCCTTTAGGTCAATTATCCAGGCTTGGCTGGAAAGTCGCCCTCAGAGTTGATACCCTAAACACGTAAATCAACCACTTCGCCTCAAAAAACCTGACGCAGGGCTACGAGCGCATAGTCAGTAATGGCCATGAGGGGCAAGGACTTGCAGAAACTTGTGCATGAACTGTAGGCAGGTGTTGTGGAGATCGTGATTAAAAGTGTTGGTATCTGTGATTAACAAGCCCCTCAACCAGGTTTGAAATGAGAGTAAGTAATAGAAAAGGAGTAGATCTCTTGACGGTGAAACTCCAGTTCAGGTGGGGGGCACTCCATTGTGCTTCCAATACCAAGAATTAGGATAAGAATTTTCGTGACACGTGATCGATTTATGTAAAATTACCTTTGATAAGGACCGGTGTAGTGTGAAAGTGCTCCTAAAGTGCTTTCAGCTTTCGCTAATGTGGTTCAAGATAGTGATCCCGGACTAAGGTGTGACGTCTTGCCTAGCTGTTAGGGTGAGGAGCCTTATGCTTGGCGTACCACATTCCACAAATTGCCTAGGATGTGAGCAGGATGAGGTGTCCCCAATTGGCCCACCGCGCGGCGAAAGAAGAGACGCAGGTGCGGCAAAGGACGAGTCGCAGCGCATGCTGTCGAGATGAATTGTATATGTAAACTATTTAAAGGAGGATTGCACGGAAAGAACGAAGGTCGAAGAAGGGAGAAATCGCCTAGTGGGGAGAGCGGTGAATCTCTTGAGGGTGCGGACAGACACGCAATCGGCATCGAAAGATTTGACCTCTGAGATCTAGCATGGCTCAAAGTTGGCGAGTTCGGCGATCTCCGCCCACCGATCGTCTGATCACTCGCCGTAGTACAATAGGTGGCGAGTGATTAGATAGCTGAGAGAGCGTAGGGTTGAAGAGGGCAAAGCGATGAGAGTCCCATCAATGCTCAAATCAACGGACAAGGAAGGGGTCCATTTCTCTCCGGTTCTGGGCCGTTTTTCGTGGTTTCGCTTTCTTTCTGGTACTACTCACCATCTCTACCTCAACTTTGGAATGGGTTGCTTTTTGCAATGCGTACTATCGTTCCTTTAAACTCTGAGGCTAGTATTGCCCTGCCGTCGTCCTTATGCGCGTCTGCGTTCCTTCTTCGCTCGCGCGATGGGCTCTGGGGAACCCGTTAGAGTCGTGGCGGCGGCTACCGTCCTTATCAAAAGCGCTTGAATCTGAGTCGTTTACCTAATTAATCTTATCCATATGTTGAAGCCAAAGGAGTGCTTTACTAGTATTCATGGTCAGGAGCAGGGTGAATATCGCTTGAGGATTCCTCAACGGCACGTCGAGGATTCTCTGCCCGATCAGAGACGATCTCTCGCGCGGACATTCACACTCGCCATGCCGTGCCGTCTGTGCTCTCCGCGCGGATGTTCACTCTCGGCACTACTCTCGCATGGTAGAGAGCTATGGTCGAGGATTTCCTCGACCGTTATTCACCCTGCTTTCCAGCGTAATATCCCCCTCTTTACGAACTGGAGTTTCACACTTCACATGATTTCTATGCACGCGAACGGGCTGTCAACCGAGCATTTTTGTTTCATGGTCCGAGCAAGAATCGGTTGCAGATAGGAACTAAGCAGATTGTGACTTCACGTCTAGACTACCTAAGGCTTACAGCGTATATCAATAGTCGGGCCGATCTATTGATAGTTGTTAGTCAACAGCATACACGAGCTCGTTTCCGCTAAATATCGGCGGAGCAACACGCATTCACATGATTTGTAGATTTTTTTTCACTTCACCACGGCAGGCAATCGTAAAGTGTACTAGTACAGCGTCGTTAAAGGGTCTTTTTTTTGCTAATAGCCAGTTCAGCCCATGTCCCGCACCCGATCATTGGAGTACTGTTGAGACTTATTGTCATGTGTCTCTCCTGGCTCTTGGTCATATTGAGTGAAACTGGTGGTGCTTTTCGAGGGAGAGCGAAATACTTGGCAAGGATTTCGAGGGAGTTTTTTTATAAGAATTTTGAAACGGAGTGAAATCATGGTAAAAATTTCACTAAAAATCCATAAGTTTCACGGATCTGGAACTGCGTTTTTTTGTGCACCTAATTAATGTGTACCTTCGTACTCGTGAACTCGAATGGAACTTCTTGAACGCTGTCAGATGGAGTTTCAGGAATTGAGGTTAGGAAGGATGAGAAGCTGTAAGACCTCGGTGAATCAAAGAGTCTCAGCTGGAAGAGGAGCCGTATTACTGCAGAAAGGGGGGGGGGCGAGGGAAGCACCTCGACAACAAGGTTCTGGCTTGCCCTAAATCCATAGAAGCCACGGGTTTTCTGCCCCCCGGATACAAGCTGACTTCACCATCGAACTGATAAGCTTAAGGACGTAACGAGTAGGAAAGCGGTGGGGCATAAGTTACCGTGTGATACAATGTACGAGTATAAAACATACATGGCCTAATACTATCACATATATAGATGTCATGAGCTAACTTACACTAATGAATTTTTCGAATTCAGGATAAAGTGTTACGATATGCGCTTCGAAATATCAACATACATAACTGTGTTGGTATTTGGCGTAAATTACTGATTATGAAAAGCCCGTTAGCTGAGGAGGTTAGGCTCACTTTCTGTGGATACCTAGATATATGCTTTATTGAGTTTGAAAACAGCGTCCAGAGCTTTCGCTTTTATTTTGATACCGATCACTAGAGGTGTGATTGAGAAAACCATTTGCCTCCAGTTCTACAGGTATGTGAAATTCCATAACACTAGAAGATTTAATTTATTAACAAGCGATTCAATCAGTACCTGATAAGGCCCCGCTTTGCCTTCCATCAGTAATTCTTCTTCTTATTCTTCAGCGTTTGTCCCGCTTGTTGGCGGGGTCCGCTTTTCTGATGTGCTGTCGCCACTTTTCCCGATTAAATGCTTGGTCGGGGTGGATGTTAACCAACTTCAAGTCTGCGTGCAACGTATCGAGCCAGCGCTGTTTCGGGCGCCCCTTGGGCCGCTTTCCGTGCACGTCTATGTTGAGGCCGATCTTGCGAACACTGTCATCATTTCCGCGAAGAACGTGGCCAAACCAACGAAGCCGAGCCTCGCGCATTTTATCATCAGAGATTGAAGCTACACCAAAGCGTTCCCGTATGACATCGTTGCGAACGCGATCTAATCGCGTCTTCAAAGTCTTTCTTCAAGTCTTGTATGAGAGTCAGAGTGAGTCCTGTGAGAGGGTCAAAGCTGATTCGTACATCAATTGACTTCCGCAGGTGGTATTGTAGTGCTCGACCTATAATGAAGAGGAGAAAACCAAGTCAAGCTCTTTGTCTTTTACATTTTAAACCTTCTGCAACCACACGTAAAAGCTGAAGCAATGGTGGAGAGCAGTGAAGAGATAAGGCTATGTCTTCGAGGATACGATGGAATCTTCATCAGGTGGATGGTCAAGGACGCTCCCCTATTTCACTTGTTCATAGGATTGAGCACTGTCAAGCTAGTGGCCACGCATCACGCGATTCCTAGGATTGAATACTACCAAGCTAATCGTGCATCACGATTAACAGGTTGACGACAGCGTGACGCGGTTGCGCGCCCCACCAGGTCGTGGTTTTTTTCGCTACTTCATCCAGTGTTGTCTGTATTTATTAAATGGATCACACCACAAATAACTGTAAAATCAACAATTGAAACATTTCAATATTGACGGGCGGGTGAAGCGGCTGCGCTCGCCAAATCGCTCCTGTACCATGTGCCTAAAAAAGGGAAACGTGCGCTGTCGTCAAGATGTTAGTGAACTTGCCTGATGTTAGAGTGGATGTGTGGAACAGAGACCATTAGGTGAAAATCCTTGCTGCTCTAACATTGAGGGCTGAGGCTCATTTATCAAAGCAACTTACACGGTCCGATTGGGACGAACATTTTCTGCTGCTAGAGCAACTTGCACCTGGTAATTCAATTTTTTTAAATCCTGCAACGACATTCTACTATCGCAGGATTATGCATCTAATCCTCATTTTGAAGGCTGGAATTTGACCATCTGCAACATATACTGGATCATGATAAACTAAATGTTGGCACTGAAGACGATGTTCTACACGTCATTGATTCTTGGATAGGTACGGTATCGGTAGAATTCATAGCTCTGCCAACATCACCACAACTTGCCCCATCGGTGGTGTGATCATTGGATCCGGCAGTTCCATCCACAACTTTTTAGGTGCATCTCTCGGTCGCAACATTCATCGTGATAAACTGCTCGGAACAGTTAGAAAAGTCGGCTTGTCCGTCCAGGTTGAGATTTATTCCAATTTAAATCTAAACTTTCCAGCTTCGCATTTTTATCCACAGGGAAGGGATTTCCATTGTAAACTGTCTCAAGTAGTGACCTTTGAACCTTTGCAAATAGTTCCTATATCTGGTCCAATTCCGGACGGAAAAACTCGGAGCTGTATTCCGTGTGTTAATCATAGGCCAACTGGCAGCTGTGGCAGTCGTTTGGGGTGGTGGTGCTATCAGCTTCTATTATTCTTGTGATCTGCCCAATAGGGTAATGGAATCAATTGCTCAAAAAGACCGATGAGAGGTAGCTTAGTTAGTCTGCAAATTGGGTGATATGTTCCTGCAGGCCCAAATTGTGCCAATATGTTCTATCCACAATTGTGTCTGTTTTGCAGCAACTTAATTTATTCAACGAAAAGCATCTTTCGAATCTCCTGTCAGAGAAGCCATTACGCCCACCACGTGATCAGGTCTGAAACTACTGAATCGCGAAATTCTTAGCCGCGTGATCCTGGACTTTGCAGATGGTAATGTTCGGCGGTTGGCATACCGGTCGTACCCACTCTCGGATAGACATTTTTGATCAGGTGAGGAACGAATCCACAGCAAACAATCGACAATGAAAATGCGAGGGGCTACCTTTTCATTTCAGGACAAACACACTTGGAGACCACTTTGCGACCTGAGCCTGGTCCATCCGATTGCTTACCACGGATCAGTAGTACTCAATGATGTAAGTATTCGCAATCGACAATGAATGGCAAAAAATCAGTACAAAAGCTGGGGGAAGGGTGCTTCCCACATGACGCAAGTGCCTTTTCGAGTCAGCATGTTTACGAAAATACGTAAATATAAACACGACTTCACCTACAAAGTATCAGGATCTCCTGTAAATGTACAATTGCGTTAGTCGAACGTTTTCAACAAACATCGAATAATGTAGTTGTTTCCTCACCAGGCAGATCAGGCAAAGCCATTCTGCGTCGTAAGTTCCAATTCGACTGCTGAGAGAACGAGTAGCGGTCCGGGCACTTCACTGAATGCCTTTTGGGAGAAGTGTAGATCAGGAAATCTATTTTGGGATTTCTAGACTGTTGGCTCATCTGTCATAACACTTGTGTCAAAGTAATTGGGCATTACATAGCAACAGTGTACGTATAACACCATGTCTTTTCCTATGCAAATCCGTTTTCTATTCTTGAACCTTGGCTTCCGCGTCTTTCCGCCCAGCACACAGCCGCCGCTTCAGCCGGGTCACTGCTAAGGTGGGTCTCTGGGGCCGTATACTATCCTCCCCGAAGGGGTTAGGGGACGAAAATTCCTTTAAATTTTCTCTGTCTTCCCAACTGGGATTACCCTGATAAAAGGCCTACATTAAATGTATGTGTATGTAGGTAAAGTAAACATGCATTGAAAATGAAGAAACTACATCGTTCAAAGCAAATAAATTTAAAGGAAACTTTGCGTCACCTAGCTTCGGGGAAGGATAGCATACGGCCCATGATCGGAAATCTAGCGGGAGCCAGTCGTTCCCAATGTCACGGAAGTGCACCATGGGAGGCATGCGACAAATAAGCGCGGCGCATCACCGCGGCTGAGCAGTACCGCTTGAAACCAGTACCACTCTATCTATTCACTTTGCCGTCAGCTTGCACTGATTATCAGGTGGAAAGAAAGTTCCGAAACACTAAGCTCTTGCTGTTTCTAGATTTCTCCCGAATCTTCCGGAATCTTCTGTGGGTTACATTGTATATTAAAGGCAGCGATTACGATAAAGAGGGAGCGCATCGGGGAAGCATATGCACCACACGAATCAGTTACTTGGCTGCCAGGGAAGCGAGGTGTGGCTTTCACGACGAAAGGTGCGCTGGTTGCTGAGCAGGACTTCGAAAGCACTCCGCCCCCAAAAGCGATCCGCCCACTAGTTTAGTTGGTGATTTGGACGAGCTGCGTTGCCAGCAGCGGCACAACTGAAGCAACTCGATGGAGCATGGTTGGCATGGTGTCACCAAACGCGTTGCGCTGAACTCGTTCATACGTCCGCTTTCTGAGCTGTTACCTGTTCATGAGTGAAAACCAACGGCCAAAAAAGGGGTCCCGTTTTGCGTTTTCTTGACGGATTTCTCCGCTTTTTTCGCTACTGGCGTACCACTGAGCACCACCAGTCTCCTATAAACCCTTCTTGAATCTATCGTAATCACTGCCTTCAAAAGAGCGGATTGTGCTGCGTGCGATGCCTCAATCGGCATTCCCAACAGTGGCTTTTGGTTCTCACAAAATCAAATTTTTCCGCGAGACGATCCGAGCGCTCTTCTTGGGCGAACTTCTCCTGGAGAAATCGGCGCTCAGAATCGTTCCAGTGATAGACTAGGGCACTATCTCTCACGTGGCGTTCATTACGGCTTGAACGCTACGCAGCGGAAACTTTGATCCCTCTGACGCAACGTACGACTACTGTCCATCAAGACGTCGTCGGCGCTGTAATCGAGGATGATTCAAGACAGTCGTCACACTGTATGGTAGTGCGTCTTGAGTGCTCTCACCGCACGTTCTTTAGGCTCTTCAGGAATTAGACAAGTCTTGGAAATGTGGTCGATGGGTACCGCACGATTTCACCGGTAGATCACGATTTCACTTCTCGTCGCACAGTAGCAACGATAGGCCGTGGCATGTGGCCATTGGCGAAGACAAATGGACCGTCTGCTCCAACCATATGCGAAAGCAGCAGCGGTATGGAGTATGGAGAATGGAGTTCTAGCGCTTCGACCAGACAACCATGGGGGTGATGCTGACAAATGTTCGGAATTTTGACAGGTATGTTTCATGGGTGATGTTCTGTCTGCAGGATTGACGATGACAAGGGCTACCACTGCTAGCTGCTCGAAACGATTGCAGAAAAGCTTCACGGAATACAGCGACAAGTCAATCTGCTTCACGACAACGCGCAACGGCGCGGGTGTTCGGTCTCAAGCCACAAGACTCTCAAGCTAGGCTGGACCGCGGTTGCCCGTCTGCCATATTCGTCAAACCTATCCATACACGTCTTCCACCTTTCCTGCTCGCTCGCTCATTACCTGGAGAACAGAAAGCTCGACGACGAGAAATCCGACTAACGTTTTTTCGACAAGAATTCTCCTAATTTCCACGTGGTATCAACCAATTGCCCGAAGGTTGGCGTAATGTTGCTGACTTTGATGGTCAACATGTTACGGGCCTTAGAATCAATGAAGAATATAAAAATAAATTCGAATTTTGGCTGTGGGGTTTTTCAAAACTTTCTTCCCGAATAATACTAGGGTGCAGGCGAAGTCACGGTGACAGCTCACGATCGTGCGCACGGTTTCCTCCCATTCCGATCTTACACTTATACCCACAATTTTTGAGAACCTTTGGTGTTTTTCGATTTATTACTTATCTTATTTCTCTGATCTACTTATCCAGCATAGTATACATCATTATTATTAACAACATATCACCAATGCGAGGGTGGGTATTCAGTGCCTCTATTGTGGACTTTCATAGAGTTCTGATCGAAGGAAAATTGTAGTCCCGAATCAGTTCTCAACCCAATCTGACATCATCAAGTTCCTGTTGGTTTCCCATAGTTCCTTCGGATGACCATCTATAATACTCATTGGTGATGTGGACTGGGTGCAGTGTGCTAACAAATCCACGAGCCGCAGTAGATTTGCTCAAACGATTCGGGAGTTCTGACAGTAAAAACCCAACTCCCTCTGAATTCGAACTTCCTGAGTCGTTGGCGCAATACGGAGGGCCTTTGCGCTGAAGACCGGCATCAACTAATACCAGTGTCAGTGATGGGAAGAATCGTTGACAGCTTGATGGCAACGCCTTCAACTTGAAAGAAAAGGAACA